GGTCAGAGGTACCCTCCACATGTGGTGCTCTCCTCCCCAGGCACCCAAGGAGCTGGACCTCAGACCTGGTAGTGGTGAGGGAACGAGGACCTGATTGTGGCTGCCAAAGGGCTGAGTCTGTGTCCGTGCTGCCCCAAAGTCAGCACCAATCAAAGTAGATGTTCTAGGCTTCTCAGGCCCTAGGTCCCAAGAAGACTGTGCCAGGCGAGTTAGTTTGAGAAGCCAATACCCATTTTCTGAGGCCACATTGGATCTCTTCTCTGTTTCCCAGGTGGAGCTTGAAGACCCATATCTCACTAGCCCAACTCTGCTGCCTGTCCCCAGGCTCTGTCAGGCTGAGGCCTGGAGCATTGTAAGGGACCTTCCTGGGGAGCTAGTCTAGGACAGCAGTGAGAAGCTAGGAGAACTGTGAGCCCCACCTGGTCCTCCAAGCAGGGTCCAGAGCCACAAATGGTGTTCTACTGAACTCCTCTGGAGATTATGAAGGTTTGGCGTTATGGGGGCATCAGGTCTCTTCCCACTTGGCCATTGCTCTGCAGATGCAAAAGGAAGCAGGTTTGAGTTAACCCTGGCAGCCTTTTTTTGGATCCTTCTTACTCACCCACCTAAGCAGCCAGTACCATAGCGGTACCCTCTAGCTCAGACTAGTGGTTGGGCCTGTGCCCTACCCAGAGTCTGTGGGCATGGCTGGTGTGTGTGTAGCCAGTCTGTGAGTTTGCAGTGTGATACACGGAATGATCTAGGCCTGAGATAGCTTTCTGGTTGCATTGGCTTTGACCCCATGAGGTGCTGCTAGTCCTGGGTCCCAATCCCATCATCTCTCACTATATCCTCTCTCTCTCTGAGCTCATTCCCAAGGGACATAGTGAGACACATCTTAACTCCATCATTGATAAACCTCTTATGTTTGCCAGTTACTCTGTGATACTATGGGAGACATCATTATTCCTATTGCCAGCGAGGAAGCTAAAAGCAGGTGAGAGGCAGGACCTGTGTCTGTCCAGCTTCCCAGTGAGCACTGGCTCTCGGTCCTTAGACCCTGCCTGCTGGACCAGCAGTTTCTATGACTCCCTGGAGCTTCATATAGGCCCAGGGGTGCCTGTGAGCAGGAGCTATAAGTATAGGTCGCTCACAAACTCCCTCTGCTCCTATAGAGCTATGCCCTGTGCCTTCATCTTAGAGCAGGTCAAACATGCTATCTTAAACACCGATGGGAGTAAAATAGATAGCTTTAATCCCTGTTTTGTGTGGTGCTAAAGGAAGTGGGTGGCCACAGTTCATTAAAAATTTAAAAGTGAAAAAGGATTCATTGATTTCTCTGGCATTGTAGAGCTCTGACTTCAAGGGAGCCAAGTAGTCCTTGTGGAGAATACTGTCTGCCATAGAAGGGCACTGCCCACAAAACACCTGGGGCCATACAAATGGGTGTTGTTGGGCAAATGGGAGCCGTGCTGGGGAGGGGCTGTGTTCTGCTGATAGGGTGACATTAGGGTCAGCCTGGCTCAGGAAGGTGTCATTAGCCAGTCAGCTTTCCGGAGCTGGGGGAGGATGCCAACAGGAGGCAGGGTTGAGTGTCATAGATTCCAGGTTGTTCACTGAGCAGTACAGGGCCATGGTGACTTCTTGGTCTTCACACATGGCGAATTTTCTGATCTCATCATGCTCCTGGGAAGATGACAAGAAAGACAGGAGATAGCCTCGAGGCCACAGGACCCTGGAGAATGGAGCTGGAAATGGTCCTGGGCCTGGGTGGAGAACTGGGTGCTCAGGAGACCTGGGGTAGTGGTCAGACACAGTTGGGAAGCAGCAGGGGATGCCCAACAGGAGTGTCCGTGAAAATGTCTAGTGAGATGGGGTAGCAGGGTGCAGGGACGGGGCGGGGGCCGGATTCTGTCCTTCCCAGGTGGGGTCCCTGTGGCTGGAGCTCTAGCTACAAGGAAAGCAGACAAGTGCTTCTCCAGTGTGTGTCCCCAGTGTGTCCTGGGACAGCCATCTCTGATGGGGGTGGAGAGAAGGCATCAGTGGGTCAGTAATGAACACTGCCCAAGGGTAGGTGTGTTAGTCCATAGACTGGTTGAGCAACAGAGGAGCTTATGCAGCTCAGGTCAGAACCAGTGTCAGGGGTCCACATCTGAAAATAATTGCCTTGCAGGCAGAGGGCTGAGGTGGTCCCAGGCATCCCACATGGCAAGAGCTGGAACATTTGTGAGTTTGACTCTTCTGCTTCCCCTCTGCCTGTGAAGCCGTCAGAACTGACTGTGTGTTCTCCCTAGTGATCTTACCTAATCCTATCACCTGTTAGAGCCCGCCTCCACACATCACAGCTGTATTTAGTTCCTATCTTCTTCCTGCCTCTTAGGGATTAAACTCCTAGCACATGCCACACTGGGGACACTTCATGTTATACCAGCGTAAAATAGCAGAGGGCAGTGAATAGCCAGCCTGGCCACTGGGACATACCCCTAGCAGGTGGAATGTGGTGCCTTGACCTGGAAGACTGCAGAAGACTCCTGTGACCATCCCTGAGAGCCTTACATTAGGGGTGGCATGAGAGTAGAGCTGTGTCTGTGCTCTAAAGGGAGCTGGAGATAGCCTGCCACCTTGTTGCCTTGGCAAAGGTGTTAGTCACCTGCTGAGGGCCCTATGGGGCTGGTCAGGTGGGAAGACCCTCCCTTGAGTCCTTTATTGTAGAGGAGGTGGGTGGACAGGATAGTGACACATAAGCGCCACATATGCTTTTAGGACACAAATGATCATTCAAGACCCCATAATGACTTTCCTGTCCCCGCCCCCAGCCCCATTCAACCTGTCCACCTAGCCTCAGGCTCCTTCAAAGAGAAAGGTATACAACTGACTCTTCAGAGCCACTCGTACAGTGTCCTCTCCTGTCTGGGGCTCCTAGCACTAGGCACAGAGTAGTATACCAAGGCACTGTGGGGACATGGTGAGGTATGGTGGATAAAGTGGGGTGCAGAGGTGTGCTGTGACATAGTGGGTGTGCTGGACAATGTGGGGCATGGAGCTCCCTGGTGTACAGTGTAATTTGTGGGACATAGTGGGTGACATATGCTGGAATATCAGGGTGTATTGAGGTAGAGTGGGAATGCTCAGTGAAGTGAGGTTCAGAAGTATAGTGGGATATGCTGGAGAACACCAGCCATTAGCGCTGGTGTTGGCCCCTACTTGCCTATGGGAAGCTTGACTTGCTGTGAGGTCCAGGGTGGACCCAGTCATGGCCCTGCACCAAGCCCCAATGGTGCCTTTTTCCAAGCAAGATGACCAGGTCCTTGGACTGTTAGGGAAATCTGTGAATGGCAGAGCCACTGTAACCCAGACTCCTCCCCCAGCCCATGAACAGGACATATGGCAAGGCTGCTGTGCTTGCCACTAACCAGGTTTTAGGGGATACTGATTAGTTTTTTTTTTTTTAACTGTATTTTTATTGCATTTATTTATTTATTTATTTATTTATCTATCTATCTATCTATCTATCTATCTATTTATTTATTTATTTAGTGTGTTGTGTTCTTGTTGGGACATGCATGTGCCACAGCATGCATGTGCCACAGCATGCATGTGCCACAGCATGCATGTGAAGGTTGGATACCTTGGAGTAACTCAATTCTCTCCTTCCACCATGTAGGACCTGGGAATCAAACTCAGGGCCCTGGGCTTGGTAGCAAATGCCATCACCCCCTAAGTCTTCTCCTGCCCTGATAGTGACTATTTAAAATACTTTGAAGACTTTTGGAATCATCAGCCCCAGCCAGGCGCTGACATCAAACTGTCTTGACAGAGCCAGGGCCTGATCAGAGGGAAGAGATGTCCAGCGTCCACCCTCACCCTGGGCTTGATGCCCCTTCCCCAGGAGACAGGATCTAGGCTGGTGTTTGTCTCCTTCGCCTACAGAAAGGCAGCAGCCTTCTCCATGCCCTGCAGGACCCTTCCAGACAGCAAGATGTAGGGCACAGCTGAGAAGTGGCTTCTGCTCTTCTGAGGCGACCCAACATGTGTTGCGGTCCTTGGTGCTGTGTGCCGCCTCATCCCATCCCATTGCAGTCGCAGCCTGTTTGCAAGGGTTTACTGGTGGGAGCCATGTGTCCATCACAGTGAGCCTTGGGCCATTCAAGAGCACAGGCTTGCCCCACTTCACAGAGGGAAGTGCTACAAGCTGGCCACACCTGCTACAGGATCCCACACTTGGCCTGCTACCATCCTTCCTGTGTCAGCACTAGGGTTTTCATCTCCTGCAGAATGGGATGGGCAGGGCACAGGACCATGTCTGAAGCTGCGGCATAGAGAACGGTAGCTTATCTTCCCTTAGTCACAGTGTTATCTCAGTGAACACACAGCTCTTCCTGGGTGTGGCAAGGAGACATCAGTGGGCAGTCAGGCACTCACTGGATATTTGCCCTGGGTGATCTTAGGACCTCAGGGAATGTAGCTGTGGCCACACCTCAGAGGCTGGCCTGTGTGCAGTGCCATGGGAGGTGGAGGATGGAGGTTAGAGGACAAATGACCAGGTCCACAGGATGGCTAGAGGGGTAGCTCACAGATGACTGCTTCCTACTAGCCCTTCTGACCATGCTCCAGATTGCAATGCTTACAGGCCTCAGACTACAAATGCCAGAGGCTGCTGGACATAGTGACTATGACCTCCTATTCAGAGCTTTTACTTGTACTAAGTATTTGAGCACCCAAATGCCCGAAGAGCCATGGTGCCATAGCCCTGATCTGCTTGGGGCCTGGAGGGCTCTGGATGCTGGTACACCAGTGGCTGCAGGTGTACCAAGGGGAGGCTTTGGGGGACCAAAGGCTCCTTTAGACACAGACCTTGATGGTCTGAAGTAGGGACACTGTCCCTCCCAAGTTCTTCTCAGCTTCTGTGGTTTTGTAGGAACCCAGCTGGGCTTAGGGCTCTGGTCCTGGCCTGAGGCTCCAGCTCCCGCCTTGGATCTGAGCCCACTGGCCCCAAGCCCCAGCCTTCTCTCCTCCCTCAGGGTCCAGGTGGAGTTCTATGTCAATGAGAACACCTTCAAAGAGCGGCTCAAGCTGTTCTTCATCAAAAACCAAAGATCCAGTGAGTCGGGGGTCTGGAGTACTCTGGGTAGAGAGGAATGGGCAGGGTTTGGGAGTCCAAGGAGATGTCCCAGCTATATGGGCAAAAGGAAAAGGTCACCTTGGCTCTCCATCTCCTGAATGGCATACCCCCAGAGAGGCCTGACCTGTTGAGACATGCCATGCCCCCATGCTTAACACTGAGTTGAAGTTGGCTACACTGTCCATGGAAGCCAGCTGAGTCATCTCCCTGTGTCACTCCAGCCCCCACCCTAGGGACCTCCACCTCCATGTTTCCCTTATTCCTTCCCAACTTTAAGCTTGGCCACTCTAGACCTACCTGGGATGCAAGAAAGGGCTTGGAGGTAAGGCTGTGGCTCCAAGTTCAATAAATCTGTTCCCATGAGTGAAGTGGGAAATCCCCTGTACCCCAAGCCCCTGCACCCTAAGCCCCTGCGCTGGAAGCCTTAGTGCTTTATCTAGTGCTCAGAGGGGTCTGTTGGGGAGGGTCTTTCCTCTGCACCTGGAGTACAAGTGTGAGACAGAGGTCTGTGTGGGGCCACTTCAGGAGGGGTGGCTGAGGGACCCGAGCAGGGTGGGTAGGCCCGCTCCTTGATGCTCCTGTCCTGATATCACCCTCCCTACAGGCCTGAGGATCCGGCTGTTCAACTTCTCCCTCAAGCTCCTCACCTGCCTGCTGTATATCGTCCGTGTCCTGCTTGACAACCCAGACCAGGGCATCGGATGGTGGGTGACCTGTGGGTCCTGAGCTGAGCCTTTCCATTGCGCCCCACTAGCATTGCAGGTGTCTGTATGGGAGACTTGGGACCTCACCAGATTCCCCAGAGCTTTGGGAGTCTTCCCTTCCCCCAGTGTGACCCTATCCCAGGGTCATGCCCTGGAGCCACTCAGTCATGCCCAGGATGGTGACTGGATTAGTGAGGACGAGCCCCCAGCGTGGAGCTGAATATGCAGCCACAGTGTGTGTTTCAACCACCTTGAGGAAGACGTGGCTGCTGGCAAATGAATTATAGGAGCCCAGCAGATGAGGCTGGGAATTCTTCCTCTAAAGTCTTCTCTGTAGTCTTCCCACTGCCCTGGCTGCTTTAAGATGTCGGTGCTATTTCCCAGCCCAGATCCTTGCAGGGTGCCATTGTCTTCCCTGAAAGCCATTAGCCTCTCTGTGCTTTCGGATTCTCTGGCATGCTTCTGGCTCATCTAGGGGCTGATCCAGACTTCCCTCAGTGCTAGGATTGTCTTGAACTATATCCTGTGAAGTTTGGAAGCTGGGCCCTGGACCACCTGCATGCTTGTCACTCCTACCTCTGCTCTGTCCCTTTTACTCTCTCCATTCTCTTCCGATGTGACACTTCTCCCCAAAAATCTGAATTCCTGCATTCATCATCTCCCACATCCCTCTGAGAATGCCAAGCCTGGCCTTTCCTTTTGTTGGTTACTTCCACTGAGTCCATTTCTTTTGAACTCAGTAGGCCTCTGATTTGCATACCAGTGGATTTGACAAGTGAGCTCAGATGACACAGGGCTCCTTAGTCAGAGCCTAGGGTTTGAGTGCCTCTGCTGGGCCATCTGTGGACCCTGCCAACATTGAGTTACCTCTTGGGCTACTTAGAACGGGCTCTTCCTAAACTGCTGGGACCCTGGAGCCTGTGTATAAAATTTTACTGAATTCCTTTTTCAATTTGTTGCCCAGCTTCAAGCAAACTGGGGTTCCTAGACTAGAAACCCTCACATGCTATTGAGAACAAACCTTTCATCACTGTCCAGAACAGAGGAGGGAAGAACCCTCTGAGAAGAAATAGAGGTTATAACTGACTTTAAACACTCTTTTCTGGGTCTGTTTCACCTTTTCCAAGTCCCAAAGGCTTTCTGCTTCCACTTCCCTAGAAAACCCAAGTCTGTTGTATTGATCACTGTCATGAGCAAGAATAGTGGATGGGAGGGTAGGTAGATGATGGATGGATGAGTGAATGATGTACAACCCAATGGGTAGTTGTATGGGTAGTTGGATACATAGGAGACGAGATGCTGAGTAGATGTTGGATAAGAGGATGGATTAATAGATGGATACATGTATTACAGATCAGATGATGATGGATAGGTAGATGCATGGACCATAGATGAGGTAAAGGGTGGATAGGTGAGTGGTTGCTGACAAAAGATGAATAGATAGATGTTGGCTATGAGGATGGGGGGGTGAATAGCTCAGAGACTTCTGTGGGTACTGAGTGCAACAACCCAATAGCACTCAGGTGAGAGGGAGGTTGATGTGAGAGGGTAGGAACTGCCCCTTTCTGGGTTCTGTGAGGAGCGAGGTCCCTATGATAGTTGAGCCTGGTGCTGGTCATGGTCTGGAATAGAATCAGCATGTTGGCTGTGCCCTGCTACCTCTCAGCAGCATATCCAAAGATGCTTGGATAGGCATATCTTCAAGTGGCTTGGGGATGAGGGTCACTGATTCATCTCCTTAGAATGGGAACAGTCCTTGTGAATCTTAAGAACTATGCAGGCTTGTTCTGGTAGCTCTGACCACCAGAGCATATAAATGTTCACACTGTGACATCTGTGCTTGTACAGGGCCCATCCCTGGAGCTTGTTGCCTGCATGAGCAGAGTCCTCACTTTCTTTAAAGCAGCATCTCACTGTGGGGCCCAGATCTCTAGACAGGGATGTGTTCTCTATGCCTCTTGATTAGAGAGCCTCCCTACACGGCCACTGCAGGCTGGGGAGGCTCCTCGAGTCTTAGAGCACCAGCTCCAGGTGGGACATACAGTAGGCCCTGACTGAGCAAAAGCAGCTCTGGAAAGAATCCTTGGCATTAGCCCTGGAAGTCTGTGGCTGGGCCAGTGCTTTTGTCTCTTTACAGCTGGGGCTGCACGAAGTATAACTACACATTCAATGGCTCATCCTCCGAGTTCCACTGGTGAGTTTGCTCCTGGCTCCCATTTGTCAGGCCACACTGGGCCAGGGCCAAGGCTGGGGTAGACAGTGTGGTGAATGGGAGTTCAAGTGTCCAGCTCTAGTGCAGCCAGTGCCCAGCCTCAACCTGAGGTCCATTCGTTCCCTGGGACATGCTCAGCCGCACCTTGAACACTGGCTGAAGTCAGTGCTGAGGATATTTCCCATCAGAGGAGAGTGATTTAGAACTGAGCAAACATCAGTTTCTCCACTTACCTGACCATTGGGCTCTCTCTACCTTGGTGACATTCTTCTGAAGACTGGAGAGGAAGTAAGTGCCCTGGTGGTTGTGACCCTGTCCAGGGCTCACCTCCCTTCCTTTCCTAGGGCTCCCATTCTGTGGGTGGAGAGGAAGATGGCTCTGTGGGTGACCCAGGTGAGTCCCAACCAGCCTCTCCTCCCTGCACAATGGAGGCTGATCCTCTGGGTTCAGCAAGGAGAGGGCTCAGGTTAAATAGGAGAGCTGAGGTCCCAAGTCTGGTAAGCAAGGGACTCAGTCTTCTTCCTGCTGACCTGCCCTATCCTTACTGTCTTCCTGGGAAGTGAAAGTGGGAGTCAGTAATTCAGGCCACCTTCTGGGAGAAGGGGAGTCTTCCCTAGTCCTGTCCCAGAGGCCTGGGTACCCAGCCTGGAGGATCCTGAAGAACTCACAGATGCCTGTAGTGCGGGCTCCATACCTACCCAAGGCCCAAGGAGTACTACCAGCTAAGCCTCACTGCCACCCCCACCTTCCAGGGTAGTTTTAGTGGTGCTCTTCACGTCCCTCACCTCTCCTGCTTCATCTGTCTTGATTGCCCACATAGGTTAGGTCCTGTTCCCAGATCTGCTCCAAATCTTTCTTTCTTCACTCAGGTCATTGTGGCCACAATAAGCTTCTTAGAGACCATGCTCCTCATTTACCTCAGCTACAAAGTGAGTTACTCCCTGTGCCTACCCTGCCCTGGTTCCCCACTATGCCCCTTCTCCATAGCCCTTGCCCTAGCCCCCATAATCCCTAATTCAAAGACTTCCCACTCCTAGCCCTTACTTCTCCCTATTTTTCAAGCTCCCAGCCCCTTTCCCTGACCCTGATTACCCTATGGCCCTGGCCCTGGCCCTGCCCCTCACTGGCTCTGAAGTCCCTCTGGCCCCCCCAGGGCAACATCTGGGAGCAGATCTTCCATGTGTCTTTCGTCTTGGAGATGATCAACACACTGCCCTTCATCATCACGGTGGGTGAGCCCCAGCCCCAAGCTCTGCTACCCAAACCCCATCTGACCTCTCCCCTGCACACCACAGGTCTTCTGGCCACCTCTTCGGAACCTGTTCATCCCTGTGTTTCTCAACTGCTGGCTGGCCAAGCATACACTGGAGAACATGATCGTAAGTAACGTCTGGCCCTTGCCAGCTCCAGGAGAATAGTTTTCCCACCTGCTGGCAGGTCCAGGCAGTGGCCAGGAAACTGCATGCCACAGTGGTGCATTGTAGTCTAACCTTGGGTTTCCTCTTTCTGTGAAGACAGCTTTTCAGGGCTGAGGAGAAGGTGGGAGAGGGTGTCAGGTCTGAGTAAGCACAACCAGACCTGGGCCACAAACCAGGGCCAGATGAATGTAGGCTCCAGCTAGCTCCCTGGCTAGCTAGCCTCTGCTGGATGGATTATACTATACCATTTCCTATAAATGGTAGCCAGGATGATCGCTATCTCCATGGTGGCCTGCCCCTCCTGGCCAGTCCCCTTAACTCAGCCCTATTCTAGTTGTACAGTGACAATAGTTTTGAAATCAAAGGTTATCTGCCCTCTGGCATATCTTGACCTCACCCCAGGGCATGGCTGATCCTGTGACTAAGCTAAGGTCAGGGTGACCAGCACAGGTCAAGATTGCCTGTAACCCTCCCCTGGGATGGAAGTGTGACCAGATCTCTGCTATTATGCATGAGGGTGTCTGTGGGTCCTGCCTTCTGATGGCTGCATTCTCCGCAGAATGACTTCCACCGTGCCATCCTGCGCACACAGTCAGCCATGTTCAACCAGGTGCTCATCCTCTTCTGCACCCTGCTATGCCTTGTCTTCACAGGGTGAGTGCCCTAGACATCTCATGGTCCCATCAGGTGGCCATGGCTAGCACAGTCCTGGGGCAGATCTCAAACCTAGAAGACAGGCCAAGAGACAGTGACAGATGGGACAAAGCTGACTGTAGAACTTAGCTCCAAACTCTTGCTTCCAGGGCTCAGGGATACAACGGCCCAGCGTCTGAACTTGCAGGTGCCTTGCCCAGCTTGCTGTGTTTGCTACTCTGAAGGGAACTGGCCCTGGGCTGACTGGGGGCCATTTGGTTTGATATCCAGCTGAGAACAGAGTCTAGAAGAACAGGGTCTTTTGGAGAGTCACCTAGAATGGGGAACTTCCGGTCACATTGGCAGACCTGCCAGCCTCCTGCATCTGCCTGTGGAGTAGCTCTGCTCCATGTCCTCAAAAGGCCTACTCCTGATATCCTTCAGGCAAGGAGTGGCTGCAGGGCCTAGAGGACAAGTTAGCAGGGCTTGGGGCTAGGAACTGCTGGTGCTTTTGGCAGCCCCACCCCATCAGTGTTGCAGCCACACCCCTTTGCTACTGAAGGGGTTCTCTCACCATTGCAGCCCCACCTCCTTACTGGTGATTAGGATGAGCTGCTTTCCCAGGCCCAGACATAAACTCAGCCTGGGAGTAGGGGGCAAGGCCCACTTGTCCATGATGGGCATCCAGGCCCAGCTCCACATCTCCACTCAGTATCCCAATGATCAGGGGTGTAGCACTTAGATACTAAGACTGGTAGAGCCTTACTCCTCTGAAGGGGCAAGGTGGGAAGGCCCCGCTTCACATCACAGCCCTGTCTCTTACCATTCACCTCCTCCCATCCATGGCGGCAGCCCCTGCCCCCACTGCTGCAGCCCCTGCCCCCACTGCTGCAGC